AGCCCTACGGTGGCGCTCATTGGCCCAGGCCGCGCCGCGGCCACGCCCCTGGCGGGGAGCGCGTCCACGTGGGACAAGACGGCCCCTCCTTGGCCCCTCCCGGTGTCCCGCAGTGTCCGGTCCCTCGCCGGGACCGTGCCAACCCTCTCCTGGCCCTTGGAAGTCGTCTTGCGGGCCACGGAGGCCACGGCCAACCTTATTTCTAGTGTCTCCCACTCGGCCCCGGTTTGCGGCGCCCGCCGCACTTTGAGCGCAGTTAGGACTACCGCGCCTGGGTGTCACGCCTGGCCGCAGCCCCTCCGGGCGGCCAGGTGACTGGAAGGGGAGTTGTGCCCTAGGGCCCCGGATCCCGTCCTGGCTCGCTCTCGCACCTGCGATTTGTCCTTGGCCAGACAGGCTGTCTCTCGCCCAGCGGTGGGGCCGGGCCACTCACGTGGTCGCTTTGCTCCGCAGTCACACTCTTGGGTGAAAACTGCAAGGCTAAGGAGTCATGGGTGCCGGCCTGCGGCCCCAGCTGTGGCACAGAACCTCAGGATGGCTGTGGGTCGTTAATTTCCCCACGGCAGCTCTGCGTGTTCTGCCAGGTCGGAGGCGCGGTGCGAGAACACTGCCTGGGATTCAGATTCTGACACTTGCTGCAGTGTGTCACCTTGAGCAGATCCCACTCTCTCGCAGACGCGTTATCAAGAATGTGGAGTGTTAACAGGCATTACCTTCCCTGTGGCCGGAATTGGATGAGGTAGCGAGTGACTGGAACGCAGTAGGCCTTCAGGAAATGCCAATTTCCGTTTGGCTCTTTCCGTGAATATGCCTGCTTTAGGATGTAGTAGGGGGTTGGTCTCTGCATCCTGGAAGCTTTCCTGTCCTTCTGGGATTTAAGATTGCTTCCTGGTCCCCTGTGTGGTACTGGGTGTGACTTTGACACTAATAAAATTTGCTGTGCATATTTGGGGGTGTTTCATTATATGGCTTAAATCAAGACTAACCAATCATGCCATAGGAGATTTAAGGTTGTGATCTTTTGGCAGGGGTATAGTGAGATTAAAATATTCCAGCCAGAAATACCAGGGTTTAGAATGCTCTAGAGCCCTCCCCACAATTTTAACAGAGTACTGAATAGCAGCAACAAAAATGTTGTAAATCGTTGCCACATCTGAGTCATCCACAATGACTCCACCTAAGTTAAACTTCACCTGACTGTCCTCTGACTTGCTCAGAACGTGTGGTACAGTTATATGAGTTACACAGAGCTCTGGGGCCCAAGGTCATGCCTGCCAAAGAAAGTTCATGTTCCAGAGCATTGACCCTGGAGGGTAATTCTGGTACCTTCGAATGTGCTACTTCACAACCTTTATGTTATATCAAGATTATGAAAACATTGAGTAAAAAGGACTGTTAAAGGTCCTTAGCAATAATTTCCAAAGTATTTGTAAGAAAAATTTTCCATCATGTGTTTCTCTTAAAGTTGGCAAACACAATAAGACCACAGAAGGGCAGCAAAGATGATTGTCACCAAGGTGGGAGTGCACAGTCCAGGGAGGTACTCAGGGTGCTGGGCTTCAATGAGTGCAGTGCAGTCCTCTGGGACCTGTACCCACCTTGTTTCCAAGGGGCTTCTTTATGCTCCCATAGGAGGAGAGACATAGGGCTTTGCCTCTAGAGGGAAGTCAGACTGCCTAGAAATGGAAAAGCAGAAGGAGTGTGAGGACCCCCGGCTCCGTCTACAGATGGCGTCGGTTCTTCTGGCCTTTTCTCTGAATGCTGGGGAGAATGTTCTCCACATTAGAATTGAGCCTTTGGTACGGACAAGCTCTGGAGCTTTAGGGAGGCCAGTTGGTCTAGTGATTAGACACATATACTGCAAACTACCGGCTCGGCTCCTCTGTAGTCACATGATCATGGGCAAATATATTTTCCACCATGGTTTCCTCATCTGCAAACAGGAGAGATGGAGAGCCCTCCTTCTCATGGCTGCTGGGAGGGCTACATGAGTCAACATCTGTTTCTGTCCTAAAGGGCATCCCAGCATGTCTGAGCACTCTTTATTCAGTGACTGGCACAGGACTGACTGCAACAGCCCATGTCTAAGTTGCGTGTGTGGTGGCCACAGGCCCTCTCCTTTCCCCAGTCATCTGGACTACTCGGTTGGTAGAGAGTAAGGGGCCAAGCAAATCAGGCTGCTGCCAAAGGGGGAAGAGCAGCATGTGGTGCCTGGCACATAAATGGGCTTACTGGCCTGCCCCAGACCCTGACTGCCCACAGGAGACTTGATGAGTCACCGCCCAGGAGCCCATGAGCCCAGGGGTTCCTCACCCACAGAGGACAGAACAACACAGCCTGCCACCAGCAGCAGAACACCAAACCAGGCTCTGTGGGACTTTCCTGGGGATATTTCCATCCCTTACTAACAGTGGGTGGAGTTGAGCTGCCAAGAGCTAGGAAGGCTGGGTAAGCCTCTCCAGACCTCCGGAAGTCAGGACAAAAAGAGGGGAAGATACCCCATGGACTTTCTGAGCTCAGAGGGACTAACAGTCAAGGAAACGCGCCTAAGGTCACATTCAATGTGCATGCAGTAAGCATCCTGCAGAAATTGCTGGGAAGCAGGGGACTCAAGTGGGCCTGGGAACAGTGTGGAGCAGGACCAGAACAAGACAGTTTCCCAGGCTGTTTCTTAGTACCTGGGTGGGAGCAAGGGGAGAGTGCATTCTTGGCAGAGAAGGTAGCCACCTGCAGGTAAGCAGCTCTTCTCTGCCTGCCAGTACCCTCCCCATTCCCAGATGAATGCTTGGGGCCAGGCACTATTTCAGTCCTCTGCATGTAAGATCTCCTGTGATTCAATAAACCTCTGAGGAAGTACTTTTACCTCATTTTCCAGACAAAGAGACTGAAGCCCAGAGAATGAACGCACAGTTAAACCCGCAAAGAGCCCTCCAGACTTCAAGCTAGTGCATGCCTTCTCCCAGCCCACCCGCAGGTGCAGGGCGACTTGGGTGTCAATGCTCATTTGCACTTAGGCTAACACATCTGCTTCTCTCTTCTGTTCTCCTTATTTGTATTAACTGTTGCTTTTCCCTCCTGTATTTTAAGGCTCATCAAACCCTACTGGAAGAGAAAAGGGCTTTTCTAGGAGACCGGTGTCCAACAGTGGCCCCAGGTTCCCTGGAGGAGAAAGAGGTGGGAAGACAGGGCACAGGTTCTCTTCAGAAATAAAGCTGTGGCCTGACCGTCTCTTAGAGTTACTGAAAACTGTGCTCTTGAGTCTTCCCAAGAAAGGAAACCGCCTTGCCATTCAAACCCCGCTGTGGTCAGCTTCTACAGGAAATAGGATCAAAATACTGTTTCCAGGAAGGGTACCATGTCACCCCTGTTTCTCCACCTACTTTGGATGTGGCGGGCCTTGTCCTGACATTTCCCAAGGCCTCTCTCCTCTGAGCAGGACTGGCACCTGGCCTCCATGGCTGTGCCCCTGCAGGATCCAGGGCAAACTTGGGGCCTGGGGGCAGGTAATGGTGGGTGAGGGATGCCTTCAAGCACTCACTCAGCCAAGCCCTGATGTGGAGACTCTCAGGTTTAGACTGGCCTGGTGCCAGCAGCCCACAGCAAGAAAGAACTGGATTAGGCTGGCCCATCGGTTTCTCTGCCAACACAGAAGCTGGCCATCCCCCTGCAGATGTGCCTGCTCCCCCCATCTCTGTCCACTCATCTCATTTGGCTCTGTGTTCACCCATGGTAGATGTGATATGGCAGAGGACACAGGCAGAGAGAACAGGAACGCAGTTCTCAGAGCCTGGAATGGTCCAGATGGTCCTCAGGACAGCACAGCATTCTCACACTTCAGAAAACCTTTGGGGAGACTTACATTGGGACTCCTTGTGTTCCCCCAGGCTCAACTTTCTCAGCTCTGCAGGGAAGAAAGGCAACTTGCTTGAAATTTAGGAACTCTATAAGGAAGGTCCTGCAGCTAAAAAGGGTCAGTGGATTTAGACTAAGAAAAAGTGCGGGGATGGCCAGACATGAGTCACCCCCAGAGTCATCTCCGGGTGGTGGGGGGCACAGAACCTCAGCCTGTCCGTGGCTTCCCCCAACTCCTCATTCCTTCAACAAACAGCCAACTGTGGTTCCAGGAGATGAACCGGATTGACCAGCCCACGCCCTCACGAAACACAAACTCCTGGTGTTTAATTCCACACTGAGGTCTGGCTGTGTCTGCCTTCCATCCCCCTCAGCCCCTCCTCCCCTCCGGACCTGCCACTTCTTACCTACCCACACATCTCATCTCCGTACACCCAGATTTATCACTTCTTGAACCCGATGGACTATGTCAAGCTGCTGGTCCCCCGAGTCTACCCTCTCAGGGTAGTGGGTCAGACTCACCAGGCCCCCCTCTCAGCCAGCTCAGGGATCCTGTTCATCTGACCCCCTCAGCAAGGCAACAAGAGAAAGCTCCACACCCCACAGGACACAGTGGGTGGAGAAAGCTGCTGTCTGGGAGTGACTCAGGCCTGCTTTGCTAGTCCCCAAACCCAACTGTTGGATGACAGAGGGTTCAAAGAGCCTTCAGCTTTGGAAACTGCCTCACAGGAAAGACTAAGGTTCAGAACAAAACCAGATTTCTTCATTTTCAGTAGAGAAATCTACTTCTCTGAAAGTAGATTTCTAGCCTAGAGCTTTGCTCCTCAAATTGTGGTCGGTGGACCAGCAGAGGAGCTTGCAAGACCTCAGGCCCTGCCCTAGATCTGCTGGCTCAGAACTGCTTTTTGATTGATTGAACCCAGGGGCTTGCACTTGCCAAGCATATGCTTCACTTGGAATCTGCATTTTAATAAGATCCTGGTATGATTCCTAAGCACATTAGTTTGGGAATTATTGATAAGAATAATAATTGTTGTTACTTGCTAGGTTTAGAGACAGTATGTTGACGTGATTTTTCAGTCAGAAAGCAAACAAACAAACTACAACAACAAAAACCCACCAATCTTTTCCAATGTTGGGTCCTATTTTCTGAACAATTCCTCCTGCCCTCATACGTAAGGGGTCATCAGCGTATACGTGGGCTGTGGGATCAGGCTATTGGAAATTGGACTCCTGGCTCTACCATTTACCTGCTGTGACTTGGGCAAGTTGCTTCACCTCTCTGTGAAGTAGAGATCACAAGGTCATTACAGGGCTTAAATAAGCAACAAGCAGTAGAACTCTGCCTGGTGTTTAGCAAGCCCTCATTTGGTTACTAATTGGATTTGGTGTCCCTAGATTTTGTACAAACTACATTTACCATTATTTAGATGAAAAGCTTCTGTAGCTGATGATCTCATCCATTGTACTTAAAATTCTTGCCAGTTGTATTTTCCAAAAGTGACTTTGCTTTCAGGGACCACTTAACTGATTCCTCAAAATATATCTATTTCAGACAGTTCATTTATTCTACCACTCAATGCCTACCATGGGCAGGGAACTGAACTTGTTGACTTATGTTGGATAATGCCTCTACTTTCTTAATGAAGATAACTTACAAAAACCTTAAATATATATGCATATAGGACTCACTCTCCTGGTACTAGGTATCTTCAGCTGAGTGCCCTGACACACACTTCCAATCTTAGCTATTTAGGAAGAGGCAAGTTCTAGGCCAACCTGGACAACTTAGCAAGACCATGTCTCAAAAAATAAATAAACAAATAAAAGGGCTAGGGATGTAGCTCAGTGCAGAGTGTTTGCCCAACATGCACATTGACTTCCAGCCCCAGTATCTCTCACACACAAACACACACACACACACACACACACACACACACACACACACACACACGCAAGTAGCATTGTTTCATTTTATCTTCACAACTGTGTGATGCAGACAGAGCAAGCACAGGAAAATGAGAGCCCACAGTCACACAACTGGTAAATAAGGGAGAAGCCCTGGTATAGGGGTCCTGTGGGCAGTGGATGGATGAACGGCACTGATTGGTGTTCTTCCCCCTGCTCTGTGTAGCTTCCTGATTTAAACCAGAGGAGCCAGTTATGGGAATGAGGATGAAACTTTCAGGCCAGAACACAGAAGGAAGAGAACTTCAGATGACCCTGATTGCAAAGACTTTCTTCCTTTATCCTCATAAGAGTTCATACTCGTCAGATTGTGTTCTATTTCGTTCACAAAATATGGTCATCAAACTGTTAAGACTAGTGGATGAAATCGGTTAGGGCAAGAGGAGCTCCAGATTTACAGAAATTATTATAAAAAATTCATGCTCCTGTAAAATGACACCTAGAGAAAAGAATCAAGTTAAGTGCGCACCTCCCTAGAATCCCAACTTTCTGGTCTAACCCCCAAAATAACAACCATTAGCAGTTCCTTGAAATAAACACTTAGAGGTGGGGTTTTTTTTTTCCCTTCTAACATACACCATTTCTCTTTTTCAAATCAGATGAAATCATACCATAAAGTTATGCAACCTCTTCTTCATTGATGTCACTGAACATTGTCCTAGATGCCTTTGCATGTCATCGCACACAGATCTCCTGATTGTTTTCTTTGGATATCTACACAGTAGTGCCCTATAAAGTGGGTGTGTTTGTCCTGGGCCAGTGCCAGTGGATTACCTGGGCTGAATGCATGTTTTTATTTTATATGATGTTGTACTGATTTACACACCCATCCAGCCCAAAAGAGAAAGTGTCAGGTTCAAGGTCGGCGGCTATTTCAATTTCCTTCAGAGCATAGGTGGCCAGTGGCCTGCTGGCCCCTGCACGTCTTCACCAACACCACCCTCTGCATCCTTGGCTCAGGCAGACTGAAATTCGTAGGTGCTCGACCTCAGCACTATGGCCTTTTCTTTACTGTCCCCTTCCAGCTCTGTACCTGTCATTCCTGAGCCAAGCTTGCCTCCCTCTTCCCCCCGGCTGTCTCTGGGTGGAATGCCTTCTCTTTCCTGTTCCTGGCCTGCTCTGACCCTAACAGCCTCCTGTGGCTGCTGATGGGCTCCTCCTTTCCCCAGCTGTGTGGAGGGAAGTGTTTGCCTTTCCAATGAGGTCATCCTGCCATCACCTCCTTGCTTGTTGATGTTCCTGCCTCCGCAGGGCCCGCTGTTGGCATGGTGGTTGTTATGGGGTCAGCGTGGGTAGCCAGGCCCTGCAGGGACTCGGCTTCACTGCTGGAAACTTGAAGTCTGTAGTTACAGCCTCAGCAGAGGCTGCTTCCCAGAGCCGGCTGTCAGAAGCCCTGGTGGTGGAGCTCATCCCGGCCTCACCTCCCTGTGGTCACCCACTCTGACTTCCCATCATTCCTGGCACCTCATGCAGGGCCATTCAGAAACTTCACTAATGTTTACAAGCTTCTGGGTAATTTCTAGCTAACAGCTCTGATGGGGCCTGTGACAGACACAGGAGACAGGAATCGTTGCAGAGGTGCTCAATCTCCCCCCACACACACCTGAGCTAAGAGCACCCTTTACCTTTCCCTCCAGCTGCCTGAATTTCCCTAGTGCCTGCCGCAGAAATGAGGACGGGGTCCCGCGGGGGCCACACCAGCATAAGCTATCAGGCCTAGCCCGAGATCCAGGGAAAGGGAAGCGCCTGTTGTGAAATCCAAGATTAGCACCTCCATCCAGCAGCTCCCTGCCCTCCCTTCTCCCTCATTTTCGCCTCTGTCCTCCCTGGATTCAGAACTTCTCTCTTATCATCTCCTATTTTGCTTTTGAAGATCCAGGACTTGCCTTCGAGGAGTCTCCTCTTGTTCTGTCACTTCTACAGACTGTGGATGGCAGGCTCCCTGAGAGAGTCTGTCTGCACCCACCCCCTTCTCCACAGCTGCTGAAATCCCCCCCACCAGGGACCTCCCATGTCGAAGAGCTAAGTCTGCCTCTTGGCCCTGCAATTGCTAATGTCGATGGAGCTCCTTCTCTGCAGATGCCTGTGTTCTCCCCATCCCTCTGGTTCAACAACAGTCTCCTTCCTCCTTCCTCCTCCTCCTACCCCCGTCCCCCATGTCTCTCCTCAGGAGTCCTGCCATATCCATCCCCCCACCAAAACCGCCACCTCCTTTCACAGCTGCCTTCTGCAGACTCTCTTTTGACCATCAGAGCCGCATCTGTCTCTTGTACTCTGAAGCCTCAGGCCTGCTATTCTTTGAGGCCTTCACCTCCCACCCTGCATAGGGCCTGGCCTGGCCACCTGGTCATCCTCTTTCCTATGAGCTTAGTTTCCTTTCCCGTAGTCTCAGAAGGTCCTGGAGCACTGCATTTCTTTGTGCCCTGCTAGCATGGGTTGGCCAACTCACAAGCTCAAGGCAAGACAGGGAAGGCAAAATGCTTGAGGTCCAGAGGGATGCATGTGACCCAATAGCCTGGAGGGCTTGGGCTGGCTGAGCCCTTCTGTACCACAGTGGACCTCAGGGCCTCCCGTGCCACGCCCTCAGCCGGGGGCCTGGCCTGATGTGTTCCACTGGGGGCGTTGGCCAGTGCCTGGTGGCTGGCAGGGTGCAGGCTGACCTGCTTTCCACAGCCTGGAGTGGGAGAAGCCGCTTCAGCAGGCACAGGTGCCGTTCCTCTTCTCACCCTGCGGGCGGGGCCGCGCCTACTGTCAGGCGCCACCGTGTGCTCGGCTTCCTGTGAGGTCGGAGCGCTGCCTTCTCACTCGTGTGCTAAAGAAAGCGAGGCTGCCCCACTCTGCTCACGACCCACTCAAAGGCAGCCCGGCTGAGCTCACCAGGGAGGGCCTTGGGCTGGCAACCTCTTGATCACCGGAGGCATTTGCTAAGCGCCACTGACACACGACTTAGGTGGGACAGAAGCAGGGCCAACAGAGGGGACAGGAGAGGAGAAGGCAGAGAGAGCCAGGAAGGAGCAAGGAGAAAAGGAAAGATTTGGAGGCCGTCCCCATTCTACCCCTGGCCCCGTCTCCTCCTGTGGCTGTGCCAACCTGGGCTCCCCCCTGACCACCCGACACCTTCAGCTGATTCCTGGCCCCAGCACTGCAGCCAGCCAGCACCAGTGGCCAGAGCCGTTTGAAGAGTTACTCTCAGAGTCCCTACTACCACTGCCTGCAGGATACACTCTGGCTGGGACTTTCCTCGGCCCCTTTACATTTCCCACCTCCTCACAGGAGAAAAATCTACTGTGCCCATTCTGGCGTGTCACTGCCCGCCTGTTTCCTGGACACAGATGCCCGTGTTCTCCCTACCTCCCGAGGCCACAGAGCACAGTGGGGAGAGTGGCCGCCTCTGCTCCACGGGCCTTTATCCCACTCAGATGAAAGCTCTGTGCATCAGGGCATGGGCTAGGGCCTACTTTTCCAGCTTGGCAAACAACGCGTACAACAGTGACCTCGTCCATTTGGGCTGCTGTGACAGCATCCCATAGACTCGGTGGTCTCTAGGCAACAGGAACTTACTGCCCACTGTTCTGGAAGCTGGGAAGTTCAAGATCAAGGTGTCCACAGGTTTGTGCCTAGCGAGGACCATCTCCTCATTCGTAGATGTCTGTCTTCTTAGGTGGCAGAGGGGCCAGAGGAAAGCTCCATGCTCATGGTCTCTCACTCCCAAAGCCCTCACCTCCTGACACCATCGTGCCAGGGTTAGGTTCCCAGTGCGTGAATTCCAGGGGACACAAACTCTCTTTGGGAGGGGAGACAGGGACATAGCTTGGTTTTCCTCGGTCGCCCCTCACTCTGAAGGCTGCAGGCTCCTGTGAGCCGCTCATTACCTGCCGTCATTCCCTAATTAGATCTCCTGCAGCCCCCGCGGTGGGAGCCCACTTCCGCCAAACAAAGTTCACCTCCGAAGCCCAAGTTTATTCTCTTTATTTCCTCCACTGTGAGGTTTCCTTAAGAATGAAAGGCTAAAGGATTTTGCGAACTTGCTGTTAATTCTGGTTGCTGCCGCGCGGCCGAGGGTGGCTCCATCCTGCTGCAAAGAATAGAAGGGCCCCTGCAGACCCCCGGGACAGCAGTTCAACTCTCCTCCACAGGTAGCTCTTGACTGCCAGGCTTTCCCAGGCCCAGCTCCTTGGGGGGGGGGTGCTCAGCAGAGCAACCAGCACCCAGAGGAGAAGGGCGCCAGGGTGCAGTGTGGTAAGAGCAATCACAGAGGCAAGCACAGAAAAGATGGCTGAGGCAGCAGGCAGAGCTGGGGCTGGGTCTCTGTGGGGAGGAGGTGGGTGTGTCAAAGGAATGAAGGAAACATAGAAGGCTTGGAACCCGAGAGCTGCCAAGGTCCCCACAGTCCCCACCACCCGCTCCAGCCACGTCTTGTAATGAGGCCAGGCTCATTACTCTGCAAAGCAGGGTAATGCTTCCAGCTTAATCCTAATCCCATCCGGCTTGGAAGCAAACTTTTGTCACTTTGGCAACCGACTGTTGCTCCCTACACTCAAGGACCCCAGCTTTCCCCCTACACGTCCCAACAAGCACTTAAAGAAAACAGAAAATATCAGTGCATCCAACATAATAAGTATTATTTGATGACTTTGTTGTAGCTACGTGTGTGTGGACTAAGTGATAATGTAAAATATATTTTTTATTGTATTTTTAAAAGTTTAAGAAACGTTGTCTTAAAGGAAAACACCCTTTGATCAAATAGTCAAGAAATATGATCAGAAACTGTGTATCGTCCTAGGCTGGGGAAAGGAGCAGGGTTTGGCTACTGCACTTAGGAAGCTCTGGATTGGGGGTGAGAAGGCAAACACACAGCACTGCAAAAGGATGTGCCAACCACACTGAGTGCGGGTGTTGGAGGAGGAGCCACCACCTTCGCAGGGCCCAGGGGTGGGTCCTCTCCCGAGGGCTGGGAGAGGAGGCAGGGGGGTTCTGGTGGGGCTCAGTGCAGAGGGACAGCAGGCCTGGCACGGCTGGCCCAGGGAAGACCTGGGCATGGATGCCAGAGAAGGATGCAGGGGTGACAGGGACAGAGGAGGCTGGAAGAACAGAAGGGGCCAGATAGCAACTTTTCCTCTGAGAGATGTGGGGTTATTTCTGTGGTTTTCAAAGGGGGACAGCAATGGGGTCAGCGACTTGATGTTGCCTTTGTCCTTCCTTCAAAGATACATCCAGTTTGTCTGACCATTGGTCCTGACTAAAACGCAGGGTACAGTGATGTGTGTTTGTTTCTGTCCTGCTCTCAGGTCCTTCCTCTACAAAGCCCTTGGACAGAGGACTGTGTTCCTCTCGGGCTTTTACACACACACACACACACCCCGGGACTCTGCTAGCAGCTGGCTGCAGAGGACAGACCAGGCTGAGGCTGGATCCTCAGCTCAGTGGACAAGGAGCGGCTCCTCTTGCTGCTGGGGAGTCTCTGGAGAGGAGAAAAGCTAAAAGACCCAGGGATCCCGCCGCATTTCATTTCCTCTTTATGCAAAAACACAGCTTCCGCAGGAGATCCAGAGTGCAGTCTGCCTTGCGCTGGGTAATCTCTTACCAGACCCGGTGCTGGAAAAGGACCAGGCAAACATCAAGTATCAGGCTGCAGCTCTCAGAGGCTGGGACTCACCCACCTCACCCACTCCTTCCCCGGGGACAGAGCCCGCCCATCTCCCTCGTCGGTCCCCCACAAAGGCCGGTCTTCCTCACCCCTGCTGCCAACGGGTTCTGCTCTCTGGGATTCTCAGGCCTCTTTTCTACACCAATCTGAATCCTACCTCTAAGGCCTATCTCAACACCTGCATCTCCCAGGAAGCCAGCCTACAGGAAGCACTCAGGATTCCTAAAATCTTTATGGCCTTTATGAATGAGGAGAGGATCATACATCCCTTTGTGTAAAACCTCATGATTAAATGTTTATCACTGAGCTCATAGTCTCTGAGCCGGAGAACTTTAACTCGTCTTTCCATGCGTGGCCCACAACTGGGCTTCAGAACTGAAATCTCATACCACACTGGTACACAACCTAGGTTTAAGTCCTTGGAACCGTGGAGCTGCCTAACCTCACCAAAGTCTTTGTTCCTCTGTGTTTTGCGGTGCTGGGCCTTGCACATGCTAGGCAAGTGCTCCTCCACTGAGCTGCACCCCAGGCCAGGCTTCCTCTCTTATGAAAGGAGGGTAGTCATAGTACCATTTAGGAATTTCACAAAGGTTGAATGAAACTATAGGGAAATGTTTTAACCCATATAAGGGATTGATTATTTTTATCATAAAATTGCAAGATAGATGTAAAAGGGCATTTTTTTTGTTTTTTTTTTATGTTTTTATTCAGTTTTAGTTTGCTTCCTGTCCTTGTGATTTTATTTTTATTTGAGATTCAGAACATTAAAGTGTTTCTAAAAGTCAGACCAAAACAAGAAGATATATTCATTACTCCTCATTCCCTTTATTCTTTTCATCTTGTTCCTATGCCCCGCAGGTAGCTAATCGCATTAGTTTCTGGTTTTTCTTTTTTTTTTCTTCTTTGTTTCTTTTTTTCTTCAACAAATAGGCGCACCTTCTTATTTCTTCCCCTTAAAGTATTCTTGAGATGATATTTTTTGGAGGCCAGTTTTTCAGGGCTTCCGTCTCCCGGCGTTTTCTGTGCATGTTGGCTTGGGAGGTGTGGAGACCCAGAGCTCCATGACAAAGGGGTTAGTCATGTGCTAATCTCCACAGGTTTGTCCTGCTGAGAGCGCTCTGACATTCTTCACATTCTTCACGGGGCTAGTTCTGTCATAAACATCAGCCCTGGTTCCCAAAGGTGTCCCTATGCTTTGTAATGGGACCACAACCAGTTCTTGATGCTCAGGAGGCTGAGGCTCAAGTTTCATGGCCTAATGAGCATCACACCAAAGCTCACCTCCTGGAGGCGGACACAAAGTCAATAGAAGACCAGATTTCTGAAAAAAACATCATTACCCTCAAGACTTGCAAATTCCCTGCAAGCACACGCCCCGTTCTTGCCAACTTCACATTGTAGAGAAACAGCACTTTATGCTTCTAGTCTGTTTTCTTTATGAGATCTGAGGAAATCAAGATTGAAAGGCTTCAGCCAGGCACGATGGTGCATGCCTGTAATCCCAGCAACCCAGGAGGCTGAGGCAGGAGGTTGAAGTCAAGGTCAACTTCAACAACTTAGACCCTAAGTAACTTAGTGAGACCCTGTCTCAAAACAGAAAGAAAGTGTTGGGAATATAGCTCAGCGGTGAAGCGCACCCCTGGATTCAATCCTCAGTGCCCAAAATAAATAAATAAATAGGGATTTTAAAAAGATTGAAAGTCTTCTGAATATTTCTCCTCAAGACCTCTTTTTAGGGAGGATAAAATTTGGGTAAATAGAAATGCCAGGCCAGAGGGAGGTGGCTGGAGGAAGCGGAGCACCACTGCTGGTGGTATTCATTGGAAAAAGCAGTGGGAGGGGAGGGTTCTGTCTTGGAGTCAAGCTGTCCACAAGTCTGTGCAGAGGCTGTGACTCACTCCGAGGAAAAGGAGTGCCCTGTATCATGGGGGCGGCTGCTTTCTCCAAACAGGAGATCTGTGGCCAAGGAAGGAAATGAAGCAATCTAAGATGAAGCTGCAGCAGCCAGGCAGGCAGAGTCCAAGCCATGCTAATATTTGCCCTGTGCCCCGGAGGCACGAGAAGCCCCAAAGACCCGGATTCTGGTGAAAGAGGGAATCAGGCCTTATCTTGAGCAAGTAGCATCTTCTCTCCTGCCCTTGATTTTCTCTTCTATAAGAGGAAGGGGGTGTAGACTGGACAGGGAGGAAACTGGCAGCCTGCGTCCATGACCATGGCCCTCAGCCATGTTCCCTTTACTCAGAGTTAGAAAAATAATTGAACTGAGGTGCTTCTGCCCATGTGCTTCTCTCTGGTTCAGCGTGGCCGCCTCCTTCTCCTACCACCTTATCCAAAGTCAGCTTCACAACTTGAGGCCCTCAGCCTGCCTTCAAAGCTGTTGGAAATGCAGCTCCTGGACTAGCAGCCACTGAGTCCCTCCCAGGTCTGAGGCTCTAGAAGCCTCTGAGCAACACATACAGAACAGTGCGTGGAAAGCTGGTGAGCACCCTGCAAGGGATGAGGAGGAAACCATCCTCCATCCTGGGATCCTAGAGAGTAAGCAAGGCTGGGCGCCAGGGCCCAGCACCTGCCAGGCAGACCAGACACAGCTTAGGGAGAGCTCAAACCGGCCTTCTCCACAGCCTCCTGGTACATCCTGTTTCTCCAGTGCTGCTGCCACCAGCAAGTGGGCACCATGCCTGACCTTCAGGGGGCAGTGAGGGCTAGGTACCCATCTGCCCTGATACCTAAGGCTGTGGCTGGGAAATGGTGCCTGAGCCCAGGCTGCCCCCTGCTGGGCAAGTGCAGAAGCGGCAGTGAGGTCAGGACAATAGAAGGGGGGAGACAGGCGCCCCTCCCCTGGGTGCCCCCCTTGGCTGGGGTGCTGATGCAGCACAGGTACAGGCTCTGCTTTCCTGCTGCCTTTCAAAGAGGGCTTTGGCCTCTCCTTGTGGTTTCAGTGCCTCCTAAAATGTCTCTGAGAAGACAGTCTGAGGCCTCATAGGCCAAATCAAAATGCTTTTCCTGGCAGAGGGCCTGACACAAAGATGAGCTCAATAGATACTCACTGAATAAATAACTAGGCCCGCAGTTACTGAAGGTGGAAGCTGCTCCTGTCTTTTTTCAGGAGAGCAACTCTACAGTTTACTCTCCTTCTTTCTCCAGTTCTTCTCCCTAACAGACACTAATGGCCCGCTCTGGGCTCCTCCCTAGTCCACCCCTCTGACTGGTCCTCCCAGTCCTGAGCTGCTTCCCACTGTGGGCCCAGACTGGGCTCCTTCCTTTGGGCTCCCCAGGGCACCCCTCTTCTTCCTCAACCCCACTTCTGGTTTCCCCCGAAATGCTTACAAGTCTAGATCTAGGTCACAGCCTCTCCCTTTTCTCTCTAAATATTTCCTCCTGTTTCCCTTTTTGGAAGCCTGAGTTCCTCACTTGCCCTTCCCTTGGTTGGACCTGGAGACATCTGTGCTTCTCACCTTCCCCGGAAGTCCCAGACACATGTGAATAGGGTGGGCCAGCCGGAGGGCTGGAAGCTTCCAGTTTCCAGAAGGGGCCTCTGAGACCCCCAGGTTGGCCTGAGGTAGGGCCAGACTCCAAATTGGGCTGGGTGGGGCTTGGATCAGGCCCACAGGCCATGTGGCAGGACACCTGGTCATCACTGAGCTTCTCCAAGCCTGCTTCAGGAGTTCCCATACAGCCTACATAATGGGGGTCCTCATGTGTTGTTGTTGTTGTTGTTGTTTCTTTCCTTATTATGCCTATTTTTATTCTAACTCATTTTCCTATTCAATAATAGGGACCTTTCTTTTTTTTTTTTTTTTTGGTGTTGTTGTTATCTAAGTAAAACTTACACGTAGGAACATTTCAAGGGCTGTACAGAGTCAATATAAGGTCATGATGGCTCCCCCTCCTTCTCCCACTTCCCCTGACCACTGAAACTCTGCTGCCACTTCCTTGTGGATCCTTGTGGCGATCCTGTCGCCCACATGCAGCTGTGTGTGCCCAGTCGCAGGGTCAGCGGGTACTTCCCGAGCGCCTGCTGTGATCCAGGGGTTGCTGCTGCATAAAACATAACAATCCTCGCTCCACAGACTTACAGGCCAACAGGCGGTGGGGGTCAGGCAGAAAGATAAGCTAGATCCAGTAAATCTGTGAAATATTGCGCATTGAGACGCTTAATGAGGAAAAGCAGGATGAGGGAATGGGGGCTTGGTCCTGAGTGCTCTCCCCAGGAATTCCTCCCCCACACCCAACACCCAGGGCTGTGCAGCTGAGACCCCCCAGCTCTGGGTCCTGGGGAGCAGAGACCTGGCCCTGTTCTGCTGAGTGTCCTGGCGCTCTGCCTCCTGGTGCAGGAGGGCTTGCCTGGTGTGACCAGGTGAAATCACAGCAGGCCTTGGGGGCCTGGTCAGGCTGCTCAACTTCAGCTTTTCACCTGGGTCAAGGTTCATGAGGGTTTTCTGGCTTTAATAAAATATTACCAGAAAGTTCTATATCAGTGGTTCTCAAATTTGTGGGTCAGGAACATCAAGTCAGCCTCCTCTGGGGACATGTTCCCTCGTCCTCCTCCTCAGTCCTGCTGCTGTAGAGACCCTGGTGGGCCCAGCTCTCCAAGCTGCTACCAGCCTTGGAGGTTCTGGTACACACAGTGGGGTCTGAGACCCTCTGCTCCGAGGAAGTCTTCACGCCTACCAGCCAGCATTGTAAGCACACATTTCCTCTCTTCTTACCAATTTCTTTTTTTTTTTTTTTTTTTTTTTTTTTGTGGTGCTGGGGTTTGAACCCAGGGTCTTGTGCATGCTAAGCAAGCACTCTACCAACTGAGCTATATCCCCAGCCCAATTTCTTTTTTTTTTAATTACTTCATTTTTATTATTTTTATGTGGTGCTAAGGATCGAACCCAGTGCCTCCTCACACACACACACTGGGTAAGCACTCTGCCCCTGAGCTCCAGCTCCAGCCCCTTAC